CAGCAAAGGCTGGAAGGCTGATGTTCTGGCATCCAGAATGGGAGTTGAACTTGGTCTGCTCTTGTGTTCTGCTCCTGCCTCTGGGAGAAAGAGACTATACTGCTGGAGGTGGACCATAAGGCCCTCCTGAAGCTGCAAGAAAGTATGTGTGGAATTGTCAATTTGATGGACAAGACTGAGGGGTCGCAGGCAGAGGAGTAGCTTGGAGAGCTTCTCTTGGTTGAGGCCACCATAAGGTCAAGTGCCATTCAAATTGGAAAGGGGAAAGATGCCAGGAAGACTGCCGAGCTGTCTTTTATTAGTCTAAGTGCTGGAAGTGGAGAACAATCACATACAGGACATGGCAGGACTGCCAGGTAGAGTGATGACCAACATTGATTGTTCCTCATTGGCTCATGATTGAGTAGGTCAGGTGCTGTCAAAGGCCCCATTGGTTTGTCCAGAGTGGACTGGCTGGCAGAGAAACCATGTGGGGCAGGCAATGCATGTGTGCCCAACCACTGTGTGCTGCATGTCTGTGCTGACTTCCATGAGATCTCCCACATCCAGCATGGCTGCCATTGTTTTGTTCTTGTACATTGGATAGATGTCTGGCTGATGTGGCCAGTCTGTCCGCATTCACATTGACATGTTTGTGTGTCATGAGCTGTTCTTGAAATGGAATGTGTCAAGGAAGAGAAACAGCTGGAGTCATTGTGAAGAGACATGCCAGAGTGAACAGCAGCTCAACAGCTGAGAGTCGTGTTGGCAAAGGAAGGGGCTGTATAGTGGACGGGGCTGACTCGTTCTGGTGTGCAGACAAGGGTATCATTGAAATGGGTTGTGGGAAAGACATTGATAGGTATGCTGTGCTGCATTTCAGTGGACTTGGTGGTTGATTGTGCCTGCAGAGGAGCAGACAAAGGAAACTAATGGTGGAATCAGTGGTTGATCATGGCTGCAGAGCAGCAGGCAAAGGAAAGTGTCAGTGGATTTGGTGGTTGATTGTGCCTGCAGGGCTTTGTCCTTCACGCCTTCCAAAAAAAAAAAATAGAGGGTTCAGGGCAAGCCCCCCTGCCCCACATAAACAGAACTTGAAGACACAGTTGCACTTCTGATGACTGAGCTTTGCAATGAGATTCCATATATGTGGGATGCTGCCGCAGATGAGATCAACAGGAAGCATGGAGTGGATGACAGGGCTCACCATGAGGACCTCTGAGGTAGCCCCCACAGCAGCAGGTTGAGGTCAGGTGCAGCAAGAGAAAAATTGTAAGTAAAGCATCATTAGAGAATAGCAGGAGGGATAAGAGAGTGCCTAGAGAGAGACCTGGAGATGGAGGGGTGACTACAAGTGTGGCCTGTGCCTGTGCCCTTGCACACTTGCAAAGGTAATTTCCATTTCCCCTTCTTGATGGTGGTTGGTTTTGTATTGCTGGAGTATCTGGTTCATCTGCCTGAACAGAAAGGTCCAACACCCATGGGCAGGGCCATACCCTTGCAGTTGTTCATACATGTGGGTCAACCAGTGAAAGGTGGGTGTCACTGATGTAGGTCTGTATATCTGAAATGAAGTCAGCCAGACTGGCATGTGATGTATTGTCTTGTTGGGTGTTGGGCCCCAACTCACCTCTATAAACTCTGCAAAGAACTCTCAGTACAACCTGGCAGCCCATTCAAGATTCCATTCTGTCACCTCTCATCTTGTATAGATCTTCACAGCAGTTGCCAACGGGAAGAAGTTGCTAGCTGCAGAAGGGGGCACTCAAGGTTGGCTATAGGGGTTCCTGGTGATAGTATAGCAGGCCTGATCTCTTGCATGCTGCTGAAGCAGGATGCAAGAGACTGGGGGGTATCTGCCTCGCCATCAATCTCAGCTAACCAGGAGTGAGGAAGGTCAAACCCACCATGGCCAGACCATACAAAATCATCAATGCCTGCCATTCATCAGCAGTCAAGTTACTGCCAGAGGGATAGCCAACATTTTGGGGAAGCTTAGCATACCAGCTTGGTTTCTCAAACTAAATTGGAAATATTAGCCCTCTGCCATCACATGCTGGAGGGTATGTACCATCTCCAGCAGTTCATGGACCTCATCAAGCTCTCAACATACTCTGTCTGTGTGCTGTTGAAGGACAATTTGGCTGCCAAGCCTGGAGCCTTTTTTGCTCCTCATGCTTTGAACCCAAACTTTAAACCATAGAGTACAGGATATTCCTGGTGTGATTGATTCACTTTGATTGCCAATAAAACCATGCTCACCAAGAAGTAAACTGTGCATTGGATCTATCATGCCCATTGTGATAGGATCAAAGTACTGTGCTGCACATCCGAATTTTGACTTCAAATCCAATCTTCAAACACCTCTTTGAACAACATGTCAAACTCATCTGGACCAGACTAGTGGAAGCAAGGAGTGGACCCTAGACATAGCATTAAGTAATATAGGATAGGTATTGATTAGTAGTAGTCTGAAGGTCCAAACCACTCCAAACATATATAAGAGGATTCAGATACTTCAGATAGAATAAAGAGAGACTGTAGGGTAAAGCAGTAGTTATTAGGTGTAAGCTATGAGATCACCTGTCTTGAACAAGTGAGGTCAAGAGTTAGTGAGAGAGGAGTCCAAGTGTTAGGGCAACACAGGCTGACTAAGTCTGCTCACCTAAGAGTGCCAAGAGTCTAAGCAGGCAACAAGGAGGTGGAGTAGACCTAATGACTAAGATCTATCTACAGTATAGGTACCTGTGGATGATCCTAAGAGACCAAGTCTGAAGAGACAGTCCCCAGGCAGAGTAGGCCTTATATTTATACCTCTGTGGTGGAACCTGCTATAACATCTTGCTTACTCAGCCTAGTCAGGTGATCAGGTCATATGACCAAGGATGAGGTCATATGAGGTCATGCACAGCCATGCACAGCAGGTCACCTGACCATCCAATCCTTCCAGCAGGTTCCAGCACATGCCAAGGTATACCAGCTACTTCCATGTCATAAAGGCTTAGTCATGTCTCTTGACCAAGCAATGAGCTGGTGCCCTGACACCAAGCATCCATCCCCCCTGCTGGAACTGATCTGAGCCTCGATTTGAACTCTTGACCAAAGAAGACCACACTCATTCACCCCATTCAACTCTCTCCCCTTTTCCCCTCTCCTTTGGACTCCCCTCAGATTGCTGCATCTGGCTTCAGAACTTGCACTGGACCCTTTGAATTGGCATATGTGTGGTTCTACCTTAGGAGTCAACCTTAGATTTGGCCTGGTTTTCTCTAGTTCTAACTTCTGTGAAGCATGGGCTACCACAGTTGACTCCCCCTCCAGCAGACCTTCTCCTGACACCTCATTGGGAGGTGTAGAGTACATTTGGTGACCAAAGTAGGATCTTCAAAAAAAATCTGGTTGGGGAGAAAAGTTGTGGCATTGAGTAGCAGATTGAGTAGTCCACATAAGCAATCATCAAACTGACCACCTGAAGTGGGGTGCAATTCTGAAACCAGAAAACAACCTCAGCCTTCAGAGTTGACCCCTGCCTGCTCTAAAAATCTGCCTCCATTAGAAAGCTTATCTGACTCATCCACTCGCCCAAGGCAGATGCCATCTACAACTATGGATTTGATCTCAGAAGAAGTCCAACCAATGAGCCTACCCTTGGACATCAAATGAGCCCTTGAAAACCTATCCATAAACATGCTGGATCTGGTGATGCCACTTTGAACAAGCAAGCATGCTCCCACACTGCTCTCAGCTTGACCTGAACACATTATCCAATTTCTTGACAATGTGCAACAACTGTGTGAAAGCTGCAAGGTTCCACAGGAGAAATGGGTTCAGTACTGCCTCAAATACATCGATGTGGAGGTCTGTCAGGTATGGGAGATGGTGGAAGAAAGTCAAGCAGCAAGTCCAAAGTTAAAAGAGTTCCGAAAGCAGATTCTAGCTTTCTACCCAGGAGCTACAGATTCACGCCAGCTGTATTTGAGGCTCAATCTGGAGAAACTTGTTTTGAAGAGTGTGGCCATTCCCATGGACAGTAGAGCTCAGTTTGGAGAATATCAATGGCAGTTCTTGAGAGTATCCCAGTGGCTGGTTCAGAAGGAGTACCTTTCAAAGACTGAACAACAGCAGATGTTCATGCAGGGATTTCACTCAGAGTTTCAGGAGAAACTTCAATTGAGGCTCCTCTCAAAATATCCTGATTCCATACCCAACAACCCATGGCCCTTGGACAATGTAGCAAAGATGGTCATGCTCCTACTAGCAAACACACCAGCAAGTGGAGAAATTATTTCTTACAGTCCCGGAATGGCAGCTGTGACAGTCAAATCGGAAACAGAAGTGGCCCTAGCTCAAATCAAGAGTTCAATTCCAAACATAAAGGTGGAAGTGAACCTGAACATGCAGGAACACATGTTAGAGGTCCTAACTGGGCTAGAGGAAAAGTTTGAAACAATGTCAACCAGGGCAATGTATAATACGAGCCATTTGAATGACCAGTACCAGAATTTGAATCAACAGTCAGGTGGACATCAAGCTCCAAACAATGAGAGGAACAGCCAGAATGGATGCCTATGGTGCTGAGCACTAGATCACTTCATGAGGGAGTGTTCTCCTCTCAATGAGAGCCTTCAAACCAGTTACATCATTTGGAACTCCCAGAACAGGACCACACTACTGGATGGAATGCCAATTCCCTCATGGCCTTCTGGGGCAATGAGAGACTGTGTTTGCATGTGGTATGCCAGGAACATGCCAGCTGCCATGAAAGAGGCCCCAGCTGCAGATACTCAACTGGCCCCTGTCCACATTGTTCAGGCTTTCACAGGTGCCAATGACTTTCTAAGCTTTTTGAAACTGTCTCAAGGTTTGGAAGTGAACATGGTGGACTCAGCATTGGTGGCACAGGAAGTGGAACTAAGGTTGATCATCATGTCCCTTGAAACCAGGCTTGAAGAGGCAACTCAGAAACAGGAAACATACTGAGCCAAACTTATGTCCCAAAAGGCAAAGGACACATGGTCAAAATGGAGCTACAGGAACTGGAACAGAACACAACACCAGAGGAAGGACCATCCTGTTTGAAGGACCTTTCCAAGGCAGCTGAAGAGGAAACAGAAAAGGACATCCACCCTCAAATGCAGTTCCAAGCTCCCACAGAAAATGATATGATGGTCAAAATGGCTATTTTGAATATAATAAAAATCCAGGTAATGGTGTCTCTTGAAGAAGCAATGCCCATGTCCCCTCAGATCTGGAAACATCTGTTCCAGCAGACACAATCTCAGAAAGTACCTCAAATGGCACCCATATGGAACACAATGGCCGCTATTGAGGAGATTCTGGCAGGAGCAGAGCCAGTAATGCATACAGAGGAGCACAAAAAGCCCACACTTCCAAGAAGTATTATAGTGGCACTGGAGGTGGTCAGATTGAGGGACATCTCCATCAAACTTGGAGACACTGGGTTTTGAACACTTGGCTGCCTTGATTTGGGATGTTTGCTCATCATCATGCATCACATGGTCTGGCATCACCCGGGCTCAGTTTACACTTTTATGGAAAAGGTACAGATGAGGTCAGCCAATGGAAGCATCAGCAGTATGTTGGGGTGTGCTCAAAATCTTCAGATAACAGTTGGAAACATCTCCGGTCTGTTCCAGGTGCATGTGGCGACTATGTTACCAGTCAGACTGCTCCTTGGAAGGCTGTTCCTAACCTTGTTCAAGTGTTCAACTCAGGATTTTGAAGATGGATACCAGGAGATCACCTTCACCTGTCTCACTATGTGGAAGACTGCCATTGTCACCACCTGTTTGTCAAACCTGCATGCATCAGAGGATTTTCAAGAGTCAAGGAACTGAGTTACACTCAGAGAGACTCCCCACACAGTAGACTTATGGTGACAACTCCAAAGCTGAGAGAGCCAGTGTGGCAATTTCGAGGTTTGAATGTCAAACTGATACCTGACATCCTGGCCATATGTTATATTGATTCAGGAATCCATCACCAGCAGTACCAGTATAACCTGTATTTCCATAAGCTTCTTGCCTGTGCCTACCCCCCAACCCTCGCTGTTTGAAAGTATAAGAAAGTGGCTGACTGTATCAAGCGAGTGCCAGCAGCACATCCCAAAGCATTGAAGATCTATCATTGTTTCCCATCCAATCTGTTATAACAGTTAGAACCATTACCAGTCTGACCACCTGATTTCATTCCAGGCACTTGGCTTATGAAAGAGCATTTCAAAGTGCTCAAAATCAACAAATTGAAATTCCTCCTTCCTGAAGAGGAGAAGCTTGCAGCCTGGGTGCTGAAGACACACAAATATGCATTTTCATGGGCTGAGTTGGAGATCGGATGGTTTTGAGCTGATTATTTTGATCTGGTTATCTTTCTGACCATCAAACATGTTCTGTGGCAGGAACAAAACATTCCCATGCCACCTGCCCTCAAGGAAGATGTGATTAAAGTCCTTCATGCCAAAGTAGCCACAGGCACCTTTGAATGCTCTCAGTCAGCATATCAATCTCACTGATTCATCATTCAAAAGAAGAACTGAGAACTGAGGCCCATCATAGATGCCCAGCCTTTAAACCAAGTCATGATAGGAAGCAGCACAGTCCCCCCATTGACCAAACACATCTTGGAAGACTTCAGATCAAGAGGACATTATGGACTTCTAGATTTCTTTTGAGGATTTGAACAGCATCCTGTCACCTTGAAATTGAGGGACTACACATTGTTTCAGTTTCCCATTGGCCCCCTCAGAGATACCATTGCACCCATGGGTGCCCACAACATGCCAGGCATCATGCAGGACAACATCAACTTCATTTTCCAGGACAAGATTCCTCATTTGACCACCCTGTTCATCAACAATATCGGAGTAAAAGGGCCCAAGACTTGGTATGAAAAGGCCAATGGGGAGTTCAGAATGATCCCAGGCAACCCCAGTATTCAATGGTTTGTTTTTGGGCATCTCAGAAACATGTATTGAATCATTCAGCAAGCCAAACACACAGGAGGATCCTTCTCTGGACCCAAGGTACAACTGTGTGTCTCAGAAATAAAACTCCTCAGATACAGGTGTTGCTATGAAGGCCACACTCCAGACCTGTTGAAAGTTCAAAAGATCACCAAATGGAAACTGCTGTGTGAAAATCTCTCAGAAGTCAGGGCATTTCTTGGCACAGTAGGCATCCTCTGCATCTTCATTGAAGGATTCACTGAAAAGGTGCACCCACTGGAGCATCTGAAATGCAAAGGTGTACCATTTGAATTTGGACTGGAGCAATACAAGGCAGTTCAAGTCCTCCAGAAATTGGCAATTGCAGCTGAAATGAACAATGTCCTCAAGCCTATCGGTTATAAGAGCAACTGGCATATTACCTTAGTGGTCAACTCTTCAAATATCAGTACTGGGTTTGTTTTGTATCAGAACAATGAGAAAGGAAAGTGCTGCCCATCATGCTTTGGATTGATCAACTAGAACAAAGTCAAAAGTAAGTACTTGCAACCCAAGCTCAAGCTGTACAGTCTCTACCAGGCACTGAAAGTGTTTTGAATCTGGCTCATTGGTGTTCCAATTTCAATGTTGAGGTCAACCTGAAATACATCAAAGGCATGCTGAACCACCCCAACATACAACCAAGCATTGTTCTGAATTGATGGATCCACTGGATCCATCTTTTCAATTTCAAACTCCACCATGTCATGGCTGAACAACATACAGCACCGGATGGCCTTTCAAGATGACCTGTGGCCTGCCAATCCGATATTGATGACCATTTCCCCAAGTTCAAAGATGATGACACCCTTGGCCTGTCTTACACATTCATATTGGAACAGTCCCTTTGAAGCCCTGTTCCAAATTTTTTGAACCCCCCAGAAGAGGTGCTACCAACACTCAAAAAGACAAAGGAGGTAGACAACAAGATCCTAGCAATTTGACAGTACTTGAGGAACTTTTGAAGACCTCAAAGTCTAACAGATGTGCAGTGGAAGTCATTCCTAGAAAAAATGTTGCATTACCTCCTCGAAGGCCAGGACAATCTATACAAACAGGACAAAAACAGAGAACATCGGCTCTATATTGAATTCAAAAAGAGGATCAATGTCCTTCAGAACATGCATGACAAAATTGGACACAGGGGCTTTTGAATGGTATATGACCACATTTGACTTTGTTTCTTCTGGCCAAATTTAATGGATGATACAAAATGGTACCTGAGGACATGCAACAAATGCCAACAACAACAGATGAGGCACATGGTTATTCCGCCCACAGTACAGACACTGCAACCCTGATTCTTTCAAGCTCACTGTGACATGATGTTCATGCCACCTTTGAAAGGTCAATATTAAGGAATGAGATATATTCTGCAAGCTCAGTGTTTGCTTACCCACTGGCCAGAGTACATGATCTGCTGGAAGGAAATGGCCAAGGTCATTGAAGACTTCATTCATAAGAACATCCTCTGTCATTGGGGTGCTATCCACAAACTCATCATGGATAACAGTTCTCCCTGGATTAGTGCTATGAATTCCCTCAAGGAAAAGTACCACTTGAACCACATTCTAATTTCAAGCTACAATTTGAGGGCCAACAGAATAGTCGAACAAAGTTATAGAACAGTTCAAGAATCAATTATTTGTTTGATGTCCAAAGACAAGTTGAAATGGCCTGAAGTGGTTCCAGCCATATTCTGGGCAGAATGAATATCTATTCACAGTGCTACAGGAATGAGTCCCTTCTACATGGCTCACAGAATTCACCCCCTGCTGCCAATGACTATAATAGAAGCAACTTGGTTAGCTCTGCCCCTGGACCAGCTCCTATCACATGCAGATTTAGTGGCATTCCATGCTTGACAACTCCTGAAGAGACCAGAAGACTTAGCAGAAATCAAAAGGAGGATTTTGAAAGCTTGATACATGAATGCAGAAAGGTTTTGAGAATAATTCAAGAACCTGGTGTACAATCACAATTTCAAAATGGGTGACTTGGTCCTCATAAGGAACAGCAAACAGGATGGCCCCCTCCAAGATAAGATGCAGAGTCAATATATGGGACCATATATTGTTGTTAAGCAGAGATCCAGAGGTGCCTACATAGTGGCTGAACTTGACAGTTCAATATTCCAACATACTATTGCCAAGTTTAGGGTGATACCCTACCTGGCTTGGAAAGACATGTCAAGTGCAGTTGAGACAGTCCTTCAAAATCTTGAAAACACAGACTTTGAAGTGAACAAACCAGACCACAAAGCAGAATTTGAATGCTTGAATGAGGAAGCAGAAGAAGAAGAGGATGAAAGCAAGAACCAGGAGATAGGCGGAGATGTTGTGGAAGACAGGGACAAAGAAAACAACTTTGAGGTTCAAGAAGAGGATCTGGACAAGTTTGCCCTTCGATTTGATCTCAGAACAAGGATATGAACCAGCACACTAGGAAAGAACAACTTCACTATACCCATACCAAGAAGTGTATCTCTGTCAATAGGGAATGCATATATCTGAAGTTCATTCCGAAAAAAATCACACGATCATTCTCAGGCACTATTTCTTTCAACTGCACATTAACTAGCATACATGTCTAAATTGGGATAATTCTATCTACGATCCTGCTCCCTCGATACCTGCCACAACTCCATATCTACACCTCGAATTGAGACCATGGGACAATGAGATAAAGAAAAATTCTGTTCCAAGGATCAGTTCAAGCAAATCTGAAAGCGAATCTGAAATACTCACATTTGGCCCACTGCTTGCCCTTGTCCGCCCGGTGGGAGGACTCACCCTTCTCGCTAGAGTCATCATGACGAGGGTGGTAGGCCGCCTGGGCCTTCTCCAACTCTTCATCCACCACCGGGATTGGCTTGCCCCTCTTGACATGGTAAATGGCATCAGTGGCCTCGCGAGCATTCCGAGGCGCCACCATGACGGAGAAGTCATCATCGTCAATTTCGCCGGATTTCTTGATGTCGGAGTGGAGCACATGGAGGCTCTCACTAAGGACGGCGTGCACGACATGAAGGCCTCTCAACCGTCGTACAAGAAAATCCGAAACGATCTCAAGACGAGAACCTTGGACTCGATGTTCCCCGTTCTCCAAAGCAGCTCGAAATCTCAGTCGTTACAGCCAAATGTGGAAAGTGGGAAGAAAGAAAAAGCACCTGCTATCTCCGAGAGTCAGCCTCACTTCCCTCCCTGTACGGTCACGTGCTGACCTGCCTAGAAAGCAGCGACTGCGGCCATGTTCGTCATAATTAAGCACCTGGTGCCTTGGGACCAGGTGGAGCAGGGTTACAACGTAGAACTGATCCACCACTCGAGCAACATGTTGTTGCTCAGATTGGACTTGTACGCAGAGTTTGACCGTCTCGACATATGCCTGGAAGAAATCGAGGTGCGTAGACGGACGGTACTGGGTGGCAATTGTGCTGATAGCGTTCCAGGGCGCGGAGAACGTCTACTGGCTTGGGACTACAAAGAAGGGTTAGCATACCCAAAGCTGGACCAAAGGATCAGCTTTGCGGACTGCAAGCACGGCGTTCCCGCGCCTCGCAAGGAGATGCTGCGGCTGCACACCGCTTGTGCGACTGTGGCCCATCTGTCGGGTGCGGATGAACGATGGGTGAAGGAGTATAGGGATCCAGGCGATGATGATCACCTTGAGGGGTTGCCCGAGTATGGGGTGGCGGCGGAAGCAGTGGGTACCCGGCATGCACATGGGCCCGAGACGCTCGACGAGATGTTGAGGATGGCGTACTACTAGCACGGGATCGCGGTGTGGTAGGGGCGCGCACACGGAGCATGCAATGACAACGTTGGGAAGCAATGGTGTGGTACCTGCAAAATTGTCGTCCTGGGTATTTGTACAAATGACACTTGCGCATATGAATGAAACAGCGTGGTGAGAGTATAGGGCTGGCTACACGGCAAACTCAGCGGCGCGTTGTAACCACGCCCCAACTACTGCGGGGCAGTCGATGATCTTGGGAAGGTAGGCTGTTGCCCACTCCTCGCGATCAGGGCTGACAGTCCATAGCGCTTTACAGTACTCCCAGTAGGACGGCATCCAGCCAGCTTGGTGCCAGTCAACAATTGCCATAACGTGCGGCACCTCCGACTCCGCCCCAGGCCAATTTCCCCACCGCAGCTGTTGCCACAGCCAACCCAATTTCCATCCCGACTCGGACCACTCCTTCCATGCACCCACCAGCCCCTCCTTTGTCCACCACGACGGCGCGGACACGATGATGTTGCCAAGGTGCAGATCCCCATGCGTGAGCTGGATTTCAACGTCGTCGGGAAGGTCGCCTCTGTGGGGATGCTGCACCGTGGGGTCGAACAGAGTGGGCCGCATGAAAAAGTCATGCAGTGCGGTTACAGAGTCGAACGTCATGAGCGGTGCCCCTCTACGCTGCTCGAGGATCCTGTCCTGCAGCGGTCGTCGACCAACGGATCCTGTAGAGAGGTCAGTGCGGTTGGCAACCAGGCAGCGCAGGTATGCACCAATGTAGGGCGTGCTCGAGTCCAAATGGACACATCTCACCTTTCCCATCATCTCGTTGAGCTCGAGGGCGATGGCCTCCTTCTGTGACGCGGACAGCCAGTCCCATCGCTGACTGAGGGTGACACCGGGAATGAGCTCCATGTAGAGATAGACAACATCCCCCTCGGTCGTCCAACCGTAAATCTCCGGCGCAAAGGTGATACCCTGCCGTCTGAGGAATGCTAGGCACTCGCCTTCGGTGACGGACGCGCCATGACCGAACTTTACGAGTAGACCAAGGTGAGGGAACCGTGCTGGCGGCGGATATAGCCCGAATGATTCGATACTGGCGCCCGGGAACTTGCACTGTGCACGCACTTCGGCCGGGGTGGGTAAGCAAGCGTGAGGATTGTTTTGGAAAAACGTCGACTTTTCAAATACATAGCATATAGGGCTGGGTGATGGAGTGGGGGCAGACATGCAGTGGACGGGTGGTGGAGAGGCAGGAGAAGCGTACTATGGTCTAATCCTCACCCACCCCATCCTAGACATGTATGGCCTCATTGTCGTCCTCCCATTCCGACTCGTCGTGCCAGGAGCAGCGTCGGCGGCATGCCGACCCACCCACTGATCGGCCATTGCAAGCTCAGGCATTGTTTCATGGAACAACCGGCCGTCGATATGCTGACGTCCTTGAGTCCCTTTGCACACACAACTGCAGCTCACGAGCTCCGGTTGCACCATCTCCCGGTCATCTTCATCCCGGTCCCCAGTCCTCGCCAGCCCACCTCAAGGTTGGCGTCGCAAACATCACAGCGCAAGCAACGCATCGGTGGACTGCCGACCCCCTTCACGTCCACGACATCCACGACGGTCGTCCGTCTCAACCTAGACACGTGCCATCGCAGGACGGCTCGGCAGTCGACCCGCATCCAGCAAAGCTCGGAGATATCCTGGCTCCCGATCTGCTTTTCCTCCGAGCAACTCGTCGTGGGCCGCGCCTGGCACACTATCGTGCAAGGCTACAAGAGCAAAACCGTCGCCCAGCTCCAAGACGTTTCCATCGACGAGGCAAAGGGTGAACGACATCTCACAAGACTATCCAAGCGACTTATCACCTCTTCATCCACACCGTCTACAGGGTCTCCGTCCCCAGCCCGATGGCGACACCGTCCACCGCCCGGTCGTCGCACCAGGGGACGATTTGCGACGACGTTCACCTATGCTGGGGGCGCGTCTATTGGGGGACGCCGGTAAAATCCTCCCCCCCTCCGGCCCCGCAGGGGGAGACGGTGGAGGCGCCGAGGGGGGCCGTCGTCCCCCTCGAAGAGTTGTGTGCGTCCTCTCGTGAGGTGGACGTGGGAGGAATGGAGGGGTCCCTCACAGTACGCACCCATCTTATACCATCCCGTGTGCAAAGCTGAAGATATGGTGTCAGAACGGACATGGCAGGATGTGTCTTTTGCTGCGCCCTGGCTGGTGGCATATGCGAGTACAAGAGCAGCTGAGTAGGCCTCACTCAAGCCCACGTTTCCCCTCGATCAATTGTCCGACACCACCCATCAGCGGAGTTGTTCGTCTCCTACACTTCCACGAATCAGTCGCCGTGTCATCCCGGGACAATGTCTCCTGAACAATGACGCAAGTTAACCCCTTGGTGCCTTCCCGGTCGACCCAGCCCCCAACACCTAGTTATCAAATATGTCAACCTCTCCAAGGGCTAACACGCCCGACCCAAGGATCATGATCATCACGCTCACTCACCAACCGTTGGGGCTGATGATTGACGTTTATCATTTCCCATCTGCGCGGAGGCTCTCCCTCTGCGGCAACTGGTACTCTCGAGACTCCCACAGCACTCTTCCTATCTCACCCAGTTGGCCATCAGGAACCTGGATGTCTCGACTTTACTTCTCCTATTCATTGCTGCTGTTGGTACCATGTATTCGCACGAGGACCTGACCCACCTGGCAATAACATTCAACCAGCTCATGCGGCACCTAGTCAAGTACCTTTGCGAAAAGAACGAGCGCACAATGTTCGACGTGATGGTTGTGCAAGCCTGGCAACAGAGGAAGGCTCATTACGGCCACTCTCAGAACGCACCTCCTGCACCCGAGTCTCTCGTATGTTGTCAAAGAATATCAAAGACGAAATCCTACTACTGTACCAGAAAGTCCGAAGGCCTTCCACAATCTCCTGCTTAAGGGGATAATGTCCCTGGCACTGCCCATTTGCTCTCGCTATCCGACGATGGGAATGACGTGCTCAATCAGCGTGTATGCATCTGCTAGGACCCTCTTCGGAGCGCACACGAGATGAGTAGTATGTAGGTGTAGGAATACACACATCCCAGCGCCAAGCAAAATCACTTTAGCCATTCATTTCCTCTAATTGTTGCACCTACCTTCAATGCATCTCTCATTGGGATGGGGACGGTAGGGCTTCCACTCCAGCCCAAATTTGGCAATGTCGATTTCAAGGCTTATCACATCGACTTCAGAAACTTAGCTGTTTGTCACATCCAATAGCGAAGAGGCAGGTTGAACTTATTGTTCTTCGTGCCACAGGCCAACTATGCCATATCACAGGCACTTGTCACCGATATTTCATATGCAAAAGCTTCATTTTATGGCTGCAACTTTGCCAGCTACCAAGACGCCTGGTATACGGGTCGAAACACGAGCACATACGTTAAGGGTGGTACGATCTATGGTGAGACAAACTATGTCTTCGGTTTTGGCACCGTGTATGTGCTTCAGATATATGGATGCGAGGACGCTTAATACGATGTTGGAAGATGCTTCGAACAAGTCACTTTTGCGAATCGGGGTTGTGGGGGTGCTTTAGTGGCATGGAAGGGCACAAATAAATCTGATCGTATGTGCATATCAGTATTGATAACTAGTCACCGTAACGATAATATCCACCAGGGACGGGCACAACCCCCATCACCCCTGGTAACCACTATGATGCCTACATCAGCAACTCACAGATCATAAGGGTGCGTATTTTGGCATTGTGAAGGCTTTCACTCATTCTGCTACAGAGTCCAGATGCCAACACAACGCTGGACCTCACCAGCAAGTGCTATCTGGGTATGGAAATTGACTTGATCAAGGTATTTCTTTCTCAAATTCATTAGGACGGCCCTGGAATGATGATGCAACGACTGTAATTATTCGGACTTATATGGATGACACTGCAAGTACTGATGGTCACCATAGAGAGAATGCCTGCCATCTAACATATGGAGAGATCAATGCAACTGGCTTTATTCCTTTGAGTGGTAGGCCACAAGTCATACTCAACCCGACTTATTACGCAGAACATGGGTCATATGGTAGGTGTTGGTAATGTACATGAGCTGTGGACACTCATACGCTGACAGGTCCGGGTGGAAATATATCCCAGCATGCTTCAGCAGACCATGTGTTAGACGCCGCTCGAAGACACCGGAGAGCATCGACCTATCTAGCGACAGCTCCCAGCCCACCGCCCCGTCGTCTTCCTCGGAAGAAGAAAAGAAGAAGACACTCACGACAGAGGAGAAAATTCCCCAGGTTCGGGATGCCATTCACTGTGGATGGGGTTATCTGCCGGAATGTGTCATGTTCGACGAAGCTTTCTGCCATCCCTGAATATATTCTGCATACCTCGTTCATCAACCTCAGATGGTCTGTCGGAGAACCGCCATGCTTTCAGTATCGTGTGGGGGAGAGCGTTGATATCTCCCTGATGGAAGAAGTTGCTGCCTTCAATAGTCTTCCTTCGACGGATAAGTTGGATGATCCTACTCGGGTGGGTGCGGTTTCGCATCTGTCGACTTCTACTGAACTTGTGCAGGTTGATGAAGCTAAGACTGAAGTCAGGGAGTTGAAGGGGGGTTGGGTATGTCATCTGCGGCCATTCGTTGATTTATCCTTAGCTGACGTACCCCTACAGTGCAAATGCTGCGAAGAGGAGTTTGCGAAACAGCAGAGTAAAGTTTAAACGTTGCATTTGTGGGGGGCCCGTGTGCTTGAGTGCTGGTATTGGGGAGGATGAGACATGGGCTTGTCGTAACTGCGTCGATCGTGGTGCACGCTGCCCATTCGCGGGTGGTACATATCCTCGTCTTTGTGCGGCGCTCCCTCGCTGATATAACGGCAGATGTGAAGAAAGTGCTGGCTGACTTCGCCGCTCAAGGCGTAGATGACAGGAATGTTCTGGAGCATCGAAAGGCGTACAATCATCCCATCTTCTTCAAAAATGCCGACGATGTTATGCAGAAGTTGCTGCTTCAGAAGTGGTGAAAGGTGCAGACCGAAAACGCTCGCCTTTGCCACTTCGCTGCCAAGTGTGATGATGACACGACTAAGACCGCTCCGCTCATCGTTGATACTTCGCCGTCCCTTGACCTCCCGCCTGGTCCGACAACCTGCGCCTGCCGGTCGCGTCTGCCGGAGACGCTGACGCTGTTACGGTGTTGATTTACAAGGAGAGAGGTTCGTACCCCTCCTTGTCTCTCAACACGATGATGATGTTAATACAAATGAGCTTATCCGTAATTTTTCCGGCAGACTCGAGGAATTGAAGACTATCCTGAAGCAGAACAGGGTGTGCCATCCCGCCATCTGCCCTGATACCTTCACTCTCGAGCTGACACTGCTGCAAATGAAGCTGAAACAAGAAATGGAGGCAAACAACACACTTTGATGTGTGTTGTACCTCTGCTATTTAGAGTCTTCCGATGTATTTCATGATGTCGCTCATGTCCCACTGTCTTCTAATCCGTACATGAATACTGAGGTATCGATGTCAATTTCAGTAGAGTGAAAATGCATATATTGCTCTGTATCGTATCTCGGGATGGTACATGCGGCAGTCTTTGATCGCACTCCTACTACCTTCCAGATGCTGCCTTGAACCCCGTTTACCCCTTCTTCATCACTTGAGAAGATACGCTTGCTTCACATTTGTCGATGATGTCTCTTTTGCTTTCGACCACGGCTTTGACCTGTTATTCCTTTCAGAGTTTGATGCAGTCAGGGTGCATGTCCTCTTACCACTGGCATGCCCTGCACCATGGTCCGCCATTTCCCAACATCGACGGAACCGCCTCCTTCATATGGCCTCTTGGGACCTGAACTGGTTAGTAATGGTGTATCTTCATCCACATTTTCGGTGGTGGATGAGTTGGGCGTGCCGTACTCCAGCATCTCATGCTCGATGTTGTCCTCATTGGTGTTCGGCATTGACTCTGTGGTGGAAGTATTAATGTTACCAAACTCCGCCATCTGTATTGCTTATCAAAATCACGTGATACGTGTTTGCGTTGTCATCTCCCTCTGCTTCCGAGAAGCTCGGTGAAGAGGCTGTGCGACGGCAACTGCCTCCGCGCCAGGGAACAGCCTAGAGTCAGCAACGGCCGAGCTCGGCACCTTCTACTCCATTGTCAGCAAATATGGCCCCCTCCAGTGACGCAGCCCTGGGTGACCTCGAAGGAACACCGGGGCGAGTGATAACGAGATCTAGTGGCCGAGTCGATGAGAAAGGAAAGGATGTCGACCAGGTGCAGACGTCGAGATCTGGCCAAAAAGCAGAGGGAGGGAGGAAAACCCGACGGCAGAACTTGAGGGCTAAGAACGAGGTTCATAACATCAACGTCGTAGGATCCAACAAACAGCAATACACAGACCAGATGGGGATTGACGAGACCATCGGTCGTCTGAAGATGAAAGTATCCAAAGATTGGAAAGTGTCACAGAGCGAAATGCGGGTGATCGCGGTTCGTACCCTAACCAGTTGTTTCCTAATGTCCTTCTGACAACGAATCGCTGCATAGCTTGACCAAACACAGCAGCCCAATGGTCCTGATGATCCACATTTCCCATGGCCCACAGGTGAAAATGAAGAAACGCTACCAAACGTCACGTCCATCGGGGCTGCGTTACGTCTTACGGGTATCGAGGGCCCGGACGAGCACAAGTACCACTTCTTCGTTTGGACCCAGGAGACGGGTACGGGGCCGGGTGAACACACACGCAAAGCAGAGGAGTCTGCCGAAGGAGAGGAGGCGCGAAGGAAGAGGCAAAGGCAAGACACCGTGTTGCGAAGTACGTATTATCGTGATACTCGTTACACACATTGCTGACAATTGATTAAAAGATGTGCAGCGAACACTCACACTTGCTCTCCGGGCGCCCCCGCCGTCCACAGCTGCCACCCAATCGGGAATGGCCACAGCCAGCGCGACCTCCACCATCTTCGACGGTCGTGGGGGTCGGATTGGAATGTCTGTCAGCATCTACTCGCCCATCTTTGCAAACCTCCTGGGCGAGCTGCGGTCAAGCACAAATAATATACCGCCCGCCGATGTCTGTAAACTGGCAGAGCAACTCTGCGCGGACTCATCAAAGAATTATTCTGACGAAGACGCACGAGTTGCAGCTGTCTCACCCACCATGGACGCTTTGCTTGGCCAAACCTCAGCGAAGACTGTCACCACGCAAAACACATCCTCAGACCGCTCTTACACGACAAGCGTTTTCTCCGATGCATCGGGACAGGTCGAAACAGCTGTCGCCGAATACAAGAATGTCCTGGGGTCAGGGAAAGCGGAACCCATTTTTCAGGGCGTCAGCTCGGCTCGGAAGTATTGGGCGCAGAAGGAGGTACGAACATTCATTTATATATAGGATTGTCTCGTTGACTTTCCCGATATTGAAGCGTGAAGATGTCCGTCGTGTGTCCCCACATCCTGTCATTTCCATCGCGCTGGCCGGTCCGTGGATGTTCGTGCAGCTTGTGGTGTTCGCAGAGGTTGTCATCGCCGAAACGGTTCCCGAGCTATGTGTCCCGTTGCTGGCCAACGCTGGTCAACACAGCGATCACACACGCGATTTGGCAAAGAAGTTTGTCCCGCTCAGGAAAGCGATGCAACGATTGAGAGACTATTACCGCAACCTTCCGAAGCCACCACCTTCCGACGAAATATCGCCGTATCTCCCCGCCTGGACAAGTGTTGAACTGCTCGATTCTGACAAGCGGGAAGCTCACCTGACTTACCACAGACGTCTATTGGATGACTTCAGGAGCCCCCTTTTCGAGGCGGATCTCCGTGCTGTCGGTAGCGAAGTCTCACAGCGCTGTGTGGTCAAATTTTGCTCGACATGGGGCACCGCGGCCCACAGATTGCTTGCTGAGAAAGGCTTCGCGCCACGGTTGTATGGGGTGAAGGAACTTCCCGACGGGACGAAGATGGTGGTCATGGAAAAGCTCAGTGGGGAACCGATCTTCAAACTTGACAAAGTCCCTCCGGACGTTGAGAACGACCTCAGGGAAGCTGTCAAAATCCTGGGCGATCGGGGTCTTGTGCACGGGGATCTAAGGTCGAGTAATATCATATGTACGAAGGAAACTACGAGATCGTTGGGGAAGATCATCGACTTCGATTGGGCGGATAAAGAGGGCTTTGCACGATACCCGTACGACCTCAACGACATCTCTGAAATCCCTTGGGCGCCAGGAGTAGGGAGGGGAGAGCTCATCCAGCGTTCGCACGATGTACACATGCTCGAAGTGAGCCTGTGTGGGAACCGTGTAGTTTCCCATTCGCAGTCAATCTTAACTCGCATGACATGATCTGTACCCTCCCCGTATCATGATGTCGTCTGGTACCTGTGCCGGATAACTAGATAGTAGATTTGTACAAGTTGTACTGATTGATCTTCCACTTAGCGATGAATGTAGTCGAGCGGTATGGCGGTCCGATCCGCAACGCTCAGATTCATGGTAGGAAATCAGCCCAGTCCGGCCGGCCTGCTTGATGTGTCAGAAAAATCTGCCACGCAGAAGATGGTTTGCTGTTCCGTGAAAACGGAAAGGAGCAGAAATGATGCTGAAGGACGAAATGATCATCCCGCTGAGTGCCAGATGCGCATGAAAAGAATTAAGCACACATTCATTAGGATACGGTATTCGGCACGCGTTACTTTGTTCTTCCAAACTGCAAACCAGAAACGTACATGTCGCGTGGGAAAGTCGGCCCGGTGACGGTTTCTCTGCCCAATACTTCCTCCTCCTCTTCCTCCCTTTTTCCATCCCAAATTCCAAAGGGGACATGCCGAGCTTCTTGACGTCGTGTCCCCAGGAAGTCAGGTATTCGCGTGCCAGGCTCGTGTCCCCCGCCGCCCTTGCTGTAGGCCGTGCGTGTGTCATGAATGTCGATGGAGCCGATAGAGTCATCTGGATCGTGAACGTCGATAGTGCCGGGAAAAAGCCCAGGAGGCAAGGTAGCAATGTCGGAGTATTTGCTGAGACGCATCTTGGCCTGAGGGATGATGCTGAACTGCGCTCGTGTGTCGAAGTAGCCCTTTTGAACATCGTTCATCGGTCCGTAGAGCGTGTTTTCGTGGCGGAGCTTCGAGTTGGCGAGAACATGAAGCACGTTCCTCGCCCAGTCCGCCGCAGCATCGGTGTGGTACTGCAGTATGCACGATTGTCGTAAGGGCCTCCACGACGCAAATTGAAGAGACCAATCACGTACGGATCAAATGGCTATGACGAAGGTGCGTTCTTTCTTCGGTCCGAGCTGAGTATCGGTGCTGACCTCCTGTGGATGGGTACGCAGCTGTACGTAGAGATCCAGATCCGCTGCGCGGTCATGCACTGGCACGTCTTTACGTTCGAAGACTGCTCCGAGGAATCCAACAACGTCTACATCACTCTCGAGCTGAGTCAAGCAGGTGTAATCCGACCCCGCGTCCGAGTCGAGCGCACACGAGATGAGTAGCATGGACGCGCAGCGGAGGCAAACTGCGTCCATAATTCCCTAAAAAGAAAAGAGCTTTATGCGTGTTCGCGCGGACGGGGGCAATTTACCTCCGTAATTTCCGAAAAAGGCAATTCCTCCCCTGCGTAGTGTTAGGGTACTGGTTAGGATCCCATTTAGCAGGTTAGGGTTGGTTAAGGTTAGGGTGGGGTAGGGGTTAGGGTTAGGGTTAGTGGTAGGGTGATATTATCATATTTTTCACTGTATTATATTATATCATACTCTGTGCTTCGGTGTAAGCCCATACGTTCAGACTCTGGAGCAATTGCTATATTGGGCGAAAACCGGGTCTTTTGCCTCCGCTGCGCGCGCTCCTACACCTACATACTACTCATCTCGTGTATACTCGTCCGAGTCCGTCTTATTCGCCTCCTCGTCCGCCAGCGCTGAATGGTCGACGCACCTCTCCGCCCTCCTGCGACCGGCCGTCCGAGGGCAGCGCGCGAAACGGGCCCGTGCACCAGATGAAGAAGCTGTACGAGACGCTTATCGTCAGGAGACTGGGTGTGACCGTGCTTTTGAGAGCAGAAGCGAGCGAGCGAGGACGCTTCTCTTGATGCTGTTGTGGCGCCCGGACAAGGTACAATAGAGAGAAGATTGAACAGAAGAGAAGACGGTGATTCTGTGTTATGTACCGTTCGTTTGGCTCGATGCAGAAATGCGCATATACGCTTAGGGTATTCACCTTTGCAGCGATATTCAAACTGCGTTGGCCCGGGGCGCAGTGACGCCAAGAAATGTAGCGTGTAGGTGTAGTCACGAGATTACCGTTCGTTGCTTCCATGTACCACGTCAACGATGATCCGCAGCTCTGTCTCTCCTCACTATTCACGGTGATCTATTCCCTCTTACAATGCTGTGCCTTACCATTCTTGTATCGTACATGTTGCTATACGCTGTGTTGCCTCCGCCGCATTGATGGATCTTTCCGAATGAGATTAATTCTGTACATGGAGAAGCTCGTCGATGAGGCTCATGTCCTGCCTCACTTGGGAGAGAAGTTATATCGAGGATATACACCGTTGCTGAGAACGGTCTCACGAATATATTATCTTTCTAGTGACAATCCGGACGGATTACCCAGCAACTTGCCTCAACCAAGAGAAGGAGAGGAAAGATCTCGGTGCCACTATGGATAAGGCTATGGTAGGGCCATGCCGTCGAATTGGCCGCGTTGCAGAGCATACGTGGACGCAATGGTCATTGATTGTGGATGGATCACAGGAGAAACCAACGTTCGATAGTAAAGAGGGTGCGGTGCCGGTCGGGTCGCAAATGGTGGAGAAGGCGAAGAGGAGAAAGCTGAAGATCGGGCCGAGAATGTCCCCGTTAGGCTAGGGACGGTCGGATGCCATATCACCTCGTCGAGCATGACGTTCTGTTCAGAAGGGGACGATGATCTCGAAGTCGGTCCAGGTCGAGTATGTCGGGCAGCGAGGATCGGGCCAGAGATGATGAGGTTGGCCCGGGGCTCTGGGGCTGTTGGAGAGGAAGCGGGAATGAGGAGGCTCCTTCTCAAACAGATTATTGCCGATGGTTGGCCGGATGGGGATGGGAGAGCGTTCGAGCTGGTCGAGACAGTCCGAAGTCTGCTCGACAAAGCGGTGACAAGGAAGGGAGAAGCACAGGTATTCTTTCTCTTGCGCGGCCAGCTTGGTCGGGGTATTCGACTGAAAGGACAGAGGCGACCAGTGCGGACAGGTTGAAGGGCTGCTGCACTATGATGCGAGCGCCCAAAGCGGGAACAGAGGTCGACCCAAAGAGCGAGGAGATGAACGGCTGGCACGAGGTGAAGAATTCGGGTTTGAGGGCGCAAGGAGGTGAGGACGAAGGGGGAGACGATCAGGACATGGAGGTGCACGAGGCCGAAGATGAGGATGAGGGTGCGGCAGAGGTCGGAGTCAGGGATATAGTCGTCTGCGCGGTTGGGGAACGCCGCAAGCTCAAACTGATCATATGGTGAGGATCACGATGTTGTCGAAGGTCGAGGGCAGGCAGACGCACCAAACGAGATCCGTAGCTGAAATTCCCTATCCGTCTTCCACCTCACGTGCCCACGCCGCTCCTGCTCTGCTCCCCCTGCTCTCCTCGCATGCCCGGCCCTCTCGGGTGCCTTCCGCTCCACCTCTGCTTTCTTGACCCGGTGTGGGCTGTGTGGCAAGCAGCCCTGCCCATAAGCTCAGAGATGACGCTGCAGGTTGCTGATGATCACGTCGAGGTCATTCGACGCGCGTTGGACGACGCAGTGTAGGAATAGTCATATGCGATCTCCTCAAGAGCAGTCAGCTAGGTCAGCGAACGCAGAAGGAGACTCGCACTCACCGTGATGTCGGTTATTATTGCAAATCCCCACAGAGGCGGCTGGCAGGCGGCCGCACTGGAATCTCCTGCCTCAGAGCGGGCTGATGGGCGAAGCTGCTTGGGACCGGCCTGATGCACATCGTGGCTTGCTGCCGTCGCTGCCGCGGCTGGTGCTGAGCGGACAGCATGCAGCGGCGGGGAGATCCGAGGTCGATTACGAGGAGGCGTAGGTCAAAGTCGAGCACGTGTTAGAAGGTGGGCAGGGTGAGATGATGAGGAAGCCAAGGAATTGGCGATCGTGGAGGGGAGGAGCGGTGGAGGGGAAGCTGGAGCAGACGTTGGAAGACCGCGGGAAGACCGCGGGTGTGGGAGGGAATGGGGCAGGGGAAGTGGAGGAATGGCGCGGAATGGCAGCGTAGAGGAGGTGCGTGCGAAGAAGGATCAGACACACCAGCAGTTTTCCCACGAGCAGCAGCTGCTCAGGGAGGTCGAGGAGGAGACGGTCGAGGCTTGTGAAGGAGTGCTGATGCGGTCACTGACGAAAGGTTCTGCGAATGCGCACCTGCAACTCCTGGCGCCACATCCAGTGGCTGGCGCTGTTGCGGGGAGGGAGGAAGAGCCGCGGAGATAAGGCCAGCGAGTTACTGCACAGCCACTATGACCGCCGACAATGGGGGAAAGACGAACACGGCACTCGCAAGAACGATTTCGATGACACAGAATCTCAATACAAATGAGGAAACTAGCAAGTTTCCATGGAGTTACCATATCATTTCTACTGTCAGTGTTTTGATCCCCAGTCGACCCAGGTAGTGCCCTCTCCACGGATTAGAGTGTGGTGCTCTATTTCTGGTTACCTCGCGTGCCTTTTTCACGGAGATTGACTTCATTCATTTCCCTTGCCACATAGAAGAACCCTACTCTCACGAGCTAGGGGATCACTTGCTGCTGACTTCTTACAGCCTCCTTTGTCCCAGGAGATCACAGTGTCTGCATGCCGTTGCCCAGGGGGTGCGCGGAGCAGATTGCTATCAACCATTCGAAACGTGTGTGATGACATAATCGGAAAATGTGAAGCGAATACCGCCGCGAGAGACGGCGTACATTATGACTAGATGGTATGAAATGTGGAAAACATCGACTAAGCCTGCGTTTGCGGATTCATGACATCGCGCTCGAATGCATTCAATGTGCTAAAGATCTTGTCGTATGCCGGCATACCCAGAATTTCAATTAGTCGGATTTTGAGAGCAACGATCTTCTTCATCATAACTTGACTGTGCGGGTCGACCTGGGCCACGAGCTCGGTGCCATCCACATCGAGGATCTTGATGTCGCCCTCTTCCAGCTTGACCGAGAGCGGGGGCTGAGACAGCTGTTGACTTGTGGAGACAGATGGAGCTTCCTGCTGAGTGTGGGACGATGCAGGAGGCTGGCCCAGTCTGGAAGGTTCTCCCCGACGGGCTTGCTCTGCGATAGTAGGCATGCGGATACGCTTCGGAGGCACTTCAATCTCCCGATCAGGCGAGGCAGCGCGTTTGCGACCAAGGTCGGTTTTGGTGGGCTCCGCCATAGGCACTGACGGCACAGCCGAACTCGTGAACAGAGGTCGGGGTCGAGGACGAGGCTGCAGGTTGCCTGGGACGTCAACGGGCAGACTCATTGGGAACGGAAGTGGTCGAACGAGAGATGGCGCGGGAGAAGCAGACTTGGACATAGGACGAGTAATGAACTTTCGGCCCGGTCGGCGTTCATTTGCTCCGCTCGGTTGAGGTTGTGTTTGTGCAACAGCCGGGAGGATGCTAGGTTGAGGGTCGGCGCGATCGACGGTGTTCGTGAACGGAGAGTCAAAACTGTCGTCATTCTGAGGAACGGGTTGTTTGCCAGCTCGGGTGGATAATGGCTGGTTTTCTTCTGGATCCTCTGGCGGCTCGCGCCTAGAGTTCGTTTCTGAGGAAACCTGGGCGTTAGCTCTCGTGACAATTGGCACATGAGACTGTCCTACCTAAGAGATTGCAGGCTTTTTTCGCCTTGCGACATAGAACACACACTTCCTCGGGCCATGCACTGCATATTCTTTTCGATTTGGATTCGTTGCATCTTGCGCATCCTGGTTTCCACACAGGCGGCGGCTTACTGCGGGATGGTGGCACAGACTTCACACCGCGTCCACGACCTCCACCGCGGCCACGATTGCTGACGGTTGTCCTTCTTCCGGGAAGATTATCCGTTGGAATGACAGGCGGCAGCGGCGCGTAAGCATCGAGCGCGCTTGTTCCTACGGCATGCATGTGAAAAGTTCCAGGTCCTCTCACCATCACGCTTTCCGCATCCGTTTCATCGTCCGAATCGATCACAACCACCGACTGAGAAGAGAGTGAAGGGGATATCGGTACGAGACATACAAGACGACGCCGAACGATGACGAGCGTGGGCAAGCGCGACGTGTGCCCCCTTTTGATCACATCAAAATTTATAAGCTGGCCGGATCTGAAGGCGTGTGCGCTTTTCCGCGAGCGTTGTCTGCCTTAGACTGCTTCCGCGGGCAACGGCCGACATCTGATAATAATTTAGCAAAACAACGCGACCAGCAGAACATATGCATATTAGAGAGAAGACGGGCTGCCTGAAGAGTACTAGTGTTGGCATATAGTAGAGAAGTGCGCGTATCGACGCGCACCTACAGGTACTGTACAGTACCTGCTTACATAAGCTAGGGACCGGACGGATAGTGCAAACTTTTCAGTCCGGACTAATGCATCTTGTTTACTGCCATTACCTGCCTACAGGTTATGAGCCCTGCTCAACAAGATCACTCTAAGCTTTTCTTTTAACTTCTGCAGACTGTGGATGTCCTGCTGGATGACCCATCTGTGTTATTGATTATTCCCATTGGAGAAGACTCTATTGGAGAAGACATCAGCACACTGGGAAAACTACATCCAAGCTACCTTCATGGCATCCACCCCCTACTCTCTGTTTCGGCAATCACTGAGGCTTGGATTATATCTGATCACCTTCGATATCATTCAGCAACACTTCAAACAGCCCAGCAATGTCATGCATACTTCCCTCAAGCATCTGAGATGCACCATCATCCACCCTTCACTTTGATATGCTCAATGCAGACAACTGGTATCCATGGAAGAGATGCATGCAAGCACTACTGAGAGAGCAGAATCTCCTCAGCCATGTTGACAGCAGCGTACCAAGACCAGAACCAGCAGGGACAAATGGGGTGATGGCAGAGGAGATAGAGAGGATGAGAGAGTGGGATGAGATAGACATGAGGGCACAGAACCAGATTGAGCTGTGTGTGGGATATATTGAGATGGTGTACCTCATTGGGGCACTGACAGTGGGACAAATGTGGTCCCAGCTGATCATGGTCAAGGAGTTGAGGGGTGAGCTGGGGGCTATGGCAATTCAACATTGATTGTATTGTATGCAAGCTGTGGATGGATTTGACATGGTTACACACATCACCAAGATATGACAACTACAAGAACAACTCCACCTGCAAGGTGAGATCATCCCAGATAAGCTATTCACTAATCTCCTCACTATGTCTCTCCCTGAAACATGGGACACCTTCACCCAATCATTTCTTGGTGCATGTACTGGCCAGATGCCAATGACATCCCATGAGCTTGTCTCACTACTCTTGGAAGAGGTGAATTGTCACAAGGAACAAGAATTCACAGGCAACCTTACCCTGGGCATGAGAAGAACCATGGCACATGAGCACACACAAGCAACATTATCTGTGATAACTGCAAGAAGCCAGGCCACATCAAGGCAGATTGCTGGAGTAAAGGTGGTGGAAAGGAGGGACAAGGACCATGTTTGAGGGGGAGGAATAAGAAATTGGAGCAGACAAATCAGGCTGAGGAGGTCAATGGTGACTAACTTGAAGCAGCCTATCACATCACAGCACCTGGTCACTTCATTGGTCAGGATTGGCTACTCAACTCCAGCACAACCTCTCATATCACCCCACTTTGTGATGTCTTCCTTGACTACCAACCCCTCACTATGCATGAGATCAAGGGTATAGGCAACAATGCCATACAAGCCAGAGGACATGGATCAATCAAGTTAGACTTTTATGTCAATGGGAAGACAATCGCACATACCCTCAAGGATGTACTCCATGCACCTAATGCTATGAATTCTCTGCTATCAGCTGGACGTTTTGACAACACTGGTGGCAAGATCAGCTTCTCAGCAGCCAAGTGTGAGCTCAGGAATGCGAAAGGCATTCTAGCTGGCACTGGACAGAGGACAAATTGTCTCTACCTGCTGAATGCCAAAGCAGAGCTAGTATGGTCATCAGGAGACCAAACCCATCAAGCAGCAGAACATTGACTCAGCTGGTATGAGGCACACCTATGCCATGGTCACCTTGCAATATCAGGACTTGTGAAGCTACACTCTGATGGACTTGTCACTGGACTGAACATTGATCCTGCAACAAGCAAGGACTTTCAGTGCTCAGCCTGCATCACAGCAAAACAATCAGCTTGGCCCTACCCAAAGGAAGTGGCAACCAGAAGCACAGCACCTGGCAAACTCACATTCAGTGATGTATGGGGACCAGCTCAGATGCCAGCTCTAGGAGGAGCATGCTACTATATCTCATTCACAGATGATGCAACTTGATGCTGCTCCATTCTCTTTATGAAAGAGAAGAGTGAGGCCATCAAGCACATCCAAACATATCTCACCTGGATTGAGCGCAAGCAAGAGAAGAAGCCCAAGACACTGCACTGTGACAATGGTAGAGAGTACATCAACAAGCCCATTAAGGATTGGCTTGCTAGTCAAGGCATAGAACTCCAAATGACAGCACCATACTCACCATCCCAGAACAGCATTGCAGAAAGGTTCAACTGCACTCTTTTTGAGTTTGCACATGCCATGCTCATTGCATGGAAACTTCCTGTGGCTCTGTGGGTACATGCAGTCCAGTATGCAGCATATGTCAGGAATAGAAGTCCAACAAAGGCCCTGGATGGCAAAACATCTGATGAAGCCTGGACTGGCAAAAAGGCAGATGTGTCACACCTCCGAGAATTTGGGAGTGAAGTCTGGATCCTCCAACAGGGGGAGAACCATTCAAAACTTGCACCCAAATCACTCCTCTTCACTTTTGTTGGATTTGAAGATGGACCAAAGGTGATCAAGTACTACAATAAGAGGACTCAGCAAGTGAAGACCTCTTGCAACTATATCTTTTTGGATAGCAAGCAAGCAAGACCTTCAGTTGAGATAATGGAGGATAGCACTGCTATGCAGAAATTACTGCTTAAGGGGGAGACAGGAGGAGCTGCTGGAGATGGAATGCCAGATACACCGAAGTGACCTGTTGAGGCAATTATACTGCCCAGCACAGATGTCAGCATTGAGCCCAAGCTGCAATCTCTGCTCACTCCAGTCCCATCATGAGAGATCACTCCAGAACCAGTACCAGAGCCACCACGTCGACCAGTCAGATCGATGCAACAACCAGTAGACTACCATGCCCTTGCTGGCTATCGACCTCAACAGGAGCAGAGCAACCAGGCAGTAGACAACTCTGTCACTGCAGACTACTGCTTCCTGATGATGATGGATCATGTGCCAAGCACTATAGAAGAGGCAAAGGAGACTGCAGAGTGGCCGGAGTGGAAGAAGGCTATTGAGGAGGAGATCCACCAACTTGAAACAAAAAGCACCTGGGTCATGGCTGAGCTACCACCAGACCAGAAGGCCATAGGATGCTGATGGGTGTTTGCTCACAAGTATGATGAGAATGGCAAAGTTGTTAAGCACAAGGGACAATTGGTTGCACAAGGATTCTCACAGAAGCCTGGCATTGACTTCACCCAAACCTATGCACCAGTAGTTTGACTCGACTCACTCCAAACCATCATTGCATTAGCCACACAACAAAAGATGTCACCAGTGCATACCTCAATGGAGACCTGGAGGAGGAGATTTACATGCATCAAGCCCCTGGCTTTGATGACGGCTCCAACAAGGTCTACCTGCTCAAGAAAGGCTTATATGGCCTGAAGCAAGCTGGACACTTATGGAACAAGAAGCTCCATGACTTGCTTACTCAACTTGGCTTCCAATGCTCAGATGTGGAGCCATGTGTCTATATCAGGAGGATCAGAGACAGACTGGCAATATTCACAGTCTGGGTCAATGACTTCCTTATTGCAACAGCAGATACCTGTGAGATGACCAAGGTCAAAGATGCTCTCAAGTCTCAGTTCAATGTCAAAGATCTTGGCACTCCACAATACCTTGTTGGGATCAAGATATCCCACAACCCTGATGGGAGTACAGCTTTATCCCAAAGCAGCTATATCAATAATATCCTGAAGCACTTTCAGATGGAGAATGCCAATCCAGTCTCAACACCACTGGATCTGAATGTCAAGCTCAAGAAGAATACTGGTGCAGCAGTTGATCAACAACAATATGCTACAGCAATTGGTTCTCTCATGTATGCAGCCATCAGCACTTGACCAGACATTGCCTATGCATGTCAGACACTGAGTCAGTACACAGAGAATCCTTTGGCTATGCAGTGGACAGCAGTTAAGCATGTGTTACAGTACCTATCTGGAACATGCAACTACTCTCTTGTATATGGTGGACCTGGTGAATACACTACAACATTCACTACCTTTTCTGATGCAAATCGGGCATCTGATTGAGATGATCAAAAGTCTATATCTGGCAACCCCCAAATATATGATCCCCTTCATCAACAACGTCCCCATCCATGGCCCACCAATACAATACAAACTCCCTGATGGTGATTTGAATGGCACACCCAAAATAATGGCATCTGTTGTTTCATATGGGAACACATGGAAACTGTAAATCAGATCTTGACCCACATCAAACATTCTGGCAGAACATTCAGTGGTCCAAAAATGGCGATAGTGGCTCCTGAATTTGTCATCCTCAGCCAACAATGTACCTACACTGGCCAACAGCCCGAGCCTTCTAAGGTTGCAAAAATACAGGACTGGCAGCCATGCAAATCCCTCACCAAAGTCCAAGCCTTCCTGGGTACCCTCAGAATCCTCCAAATATTCATAAAGGATTTTCCTATGAAAGCATGCCCTTTGGAACATCTCAAATGCAAAGGCATGATATTTGCCTGGGGCCCTGAGCACCAAGCAGCCTTTGACCAGCTAAAGGCAGATGCCTGTCAGGATGTTCTCCTCTGTCCCATTGACTATGAAAGGGACCGAAGGATCATCCTTTCAGTGGATTCCTTGAATATCAGCATTGAATATGTCCTCTATCAGAATGACATCAACGGCAAATAAAAACTGGCCTGCTTTGGATCTTTGGCATGGAACGATGTTGAATCCCAACATTCCCAACCCAAGCTCAAACTATATGGCTTATACTGAGCTCTCTGGGTCTTGCAGGTCTTCCTGATTGGTGCACCCCAATTTATCATGGAAGTGGATGCCTCCTGCATTAAAGGGATGTTGAATAATCTGGACCAGCAACCTGCTACTGCCCTCAACTGCTGGGTTAGTGGGATACACCAGTTCAATTTTGATCTCATTCATGTCCCCACCAAAAAACACACTGGTCCCAATGGTCTGTCCCGCCATCCCCCTTCTTTGTGTTGGATGCTCTGAACCCACCAGACATTGACCACAAAGAATGCCTGACTTT